CCCCCCAAACCTCTTTAAGGTTCTAGCTAAAGTTGATCAACTTTACTTCAAAACCTCTCTCTTGTTTCTCACCCTAGATATTTTTTTGGGATGAGTGTCTTGTCTGGGTCATATTGTTGTATATTGTGTGAGGTTCCATTCATGAGGAATAAGTGCAAACGTCGGACCAAGTAGTAAAAAAATGTTTTAAGTCCATTTGTCAGAATATATCACCTTACTATTTATTATTACTCAAATGTGTATATTTTCGGTTGAGTGAATCACTATAGTCACCTGGCGAAAACTAAGGAGTACTCAAATTGTAATCCCTTGGGTTGATGAAGGCTTTCAAATAGGTGCGGATAATGTGCATTTTTTGTAACTCACTTTTCCACAAAATAACCTTTCCACGTCAAATTTTAATTTCATCTCAGTTTTCATTGGTTAGTGGATGATTACAATTTCGCTGTATCAAATTAACTGATGAGTCACCGATTAAATGTACTTTTGCTTACCCCAAAATGTCTCCACTCACCTTTCCATCTACCTGGATCACACTCTGTAAAATAAATGCTCACATGTGATAGTTCTAGTGAATGGCCTATTGTTCAAATGGCTGTCTTTACATTTTCAAGTTAATAATAGACTCTCTATGCCTTTCTTGGCATTTCTTTTTAGGCGTGAAAGGATTTCAACCATTTGGGGGGGAGGGGGGGCAGTGGAATTAGCACGAATAGCTCTCGTTCATTTTGACATTTGATCGTCCGTCCACAGTTTGAAGTGTCCATGGAAAGTGCTCATTGTGTACCCCCTTTGCCAAACCTTCAAGCACTTTAGGAATTATGCGATGCGTTGTATTCCATAAATTGGTATTGTAATCGTGTTTGTTTCTGAGTGGTAACTTGACGTCGCTTTAACTGAAAGTGATTTGTGCTCGCTCTCTCTAATTCATTCTAATCTATCGTTTCGATAAAAAGAAAACTTGAAATTATTTTGGAATTTATTCTCAAATACATATTCATAGCTATTTAATTTGGGGATTTAAGCGGTGGGTTTTTGTTGTTGTTGTTGTGTATGTCTTGTAGATATGCTTCTGCGCCACTGTGATAGCAGCCTGTATACGAGTGGACGCGTTGAGTGTACTCTATCTCCTCCTGATGCTCATATTCCTCTTCACTCATCGACGCGATATCTGCTCACGTCTCTGGCCAGCATACATGACCCTCCTAGGCACTCTCCTTGTCATTCAATACGCCGCCTGCTCGCAAATCCCCTCCATTCTCGTTGAATGTAAGTTTGTGGTATTCTCCACCACCTACACCTACACACCTAACTGGTATCTCATTTCCTGAGTGGAGAAAGTCACGTAGTACAAGGGTTTTGCGCATTCACTTGTAAACCTCTACGCCCACTCTTCGTTCAATACCGCTTAGTGCTTTGCATCAGCCTCTGATTTCATCTTTTCCTATCTCCTGGATGTGTGTGTGTGTGATCTAAAAATATCTGTGCATTAGAGTTGCGTTTATTTGCAATAAAAGGTGCATTAAATGTCTGTGGAGGAAGCAGCGGCTCTGAAATAACGCTGCAAGACAGCATGCTGCTGACTGTGTAAATTGGCAGCTAATTGCAAACTTGTTTGTGTGGAAGTTCATTGAAGAAGGGGTTTATTTTCACTTCTTACTCGGAAGGAAGTATGACGTCCTATGGCTTGTCTGACAAAGCTTACGTTCCACTGATCTTTTCCATACATTTGGGTGCACTTCAATGATTTCCCATTACCTAGTAGGAGGACTACGTCATTGCCACGTGTGTAGCCGAATAGCTAACTTACCGATGCAAGCTTATCTCTAGTTGTTTTTCGCCCTCTATTCTCATAATATGCTAATTTGGATTACCTTACCGACACCAAGAGTTCACTTATTTGAGGGTATTTTCCAATGCTGTTTGTTTTTTTTTGCCTCAGTATCCTATTTTGTGCCAACACCCCCCTCCCCTCCCCCCTTCCCTTCCCCTGAGGATTATACTGGGCTATTCTTTTGCATTATTTACATCGGCGCGACATTTATCGGCCATGAAACCAAATTGGCAGAATTGCGAAACATGGGCATCTGAATTCCCGACTCTGCTTCCCTAGATGGGTAAAATTAGCATTTACTGAGATACCTTTCTGGTTTCGCTTCCAGAGAGGGTTTAGAAATGCCACCTCAGTTGGTGGCTGATTGGTTTTATTTTTTGATTTGCCAAGCCATCCTATTCTCCTGCCTGTTTTGCATTGTGAATTTGCCTTTTCTCATTCTTCAACCTTCCATCCTATTAAAATTGGGTTTCTTTCTGATGCTATTCTTGTCGTTCAAGCCTTATTACCACCTTACGGTGGGTCCATTTTTATTGATTCTTGCTTTAAAAAAGGACATTATTATGCTATTATTATTATTAGTTTTCGTGTTGCACGAACATGTTACGAGGAATTGAATTTTTAATGAGTAGTTTTCTCAAAAACTTCTTACGGGCGGGGCTTAGTAGTGTTGAGTCTATTAAAGCGCGAATACCAAATCGTATTTATTGGTGGTGTTCTTTTTCACGGAGTATTAGCGCTTCGCACAACTTACTTTTTGTTCTAATTTATGAAAGTGAAGTTCAAATTTTAATAATGCATGCCTTCATAGAATGAGTTTTTTAGAGAGTTCCATAATGAAGTAGCACAAGAACGTCTGTAATATTTCCGCAAATTTGCTGGTCGGAGAATCTGGCCCTCCAGGCAACGCTAATTGAATAACCCACTCCAGAACACACCTGGGCTACCACCCAAGGAAAATTTCAGGGCATTAAGCACTTCAAGTACCGCTATGCGCATTATGACAATTCTGGGGGTGGGGGTGGGGGTGGGGGTTCGCAACAATGTCGAGATGATTACCCTTCTCAGATTAGGTCTAATGTAAGTAAATATTTGGGAGGAGGGGGGTGTATAGGGATTCCTCCTTCACATTTTTATTACTCTCAGTCATTTTCATCTCTGTGTGGCAGTTTTTTGACCCTTAGTTCTGTGGTATCTTCGTTTATCTCGATGTCAAATTATATATTCGCATCCTTTAAGATGCTTGTTTTTCAGGGACAGACACTGAAGAAGAAGAATAATAGTGTCTATGGAATTTTCGGAGAAGTCTATTCCATTCTATATATTCGATTAGGTCGGGTCTCTTCTGTTTATTAATTAAGGTTGAATCAAATACCATCTGGTATTTTTCATTCCGCCAGTCAGTTTATGATTTTATTTTTGCCTTCTTTTACCCAGTTAAATGATTCACCTTGAAGGCGTTTTCAGAAACGCGTTTATTTTTAAGCCAAAACTTGTTTATTTCAAGTTGAAGGTCCACGAGAAATGTGTCCTGTTTAAACACAGCCACCAAATATGTACTAGGCATTTCACACCTTAGTTTTTCGGGTTCAGCCACTGGGGCTTCAGCTGGTGGGGCAGATTGCTCTCTCTGGTTGATAGAACGCTTCTCTTCTTTCTGCCTTGATAATGGCAAGATTTTTCTTACAAGTTTGAGATTAAGGTTAGGACAAACGAGTCTAAGAGCATATTGAAATAGAAGAAGGGTTCAAGGGTCGTGCTAAGTTGTTCGCATTCTCCATAAGCAGTGAAGTTCGTGTGTCTAATTTGTGTTCTATCGCATGTCTTAAAGGTCTCTAACTTGTTTCATAGGACGGCTTGTACTTGTAATAGACCACCTTCTGTCCATTCGTTTTTTTCCCTTCCATCTTGGACAAATCATCAGCGCTTTTGTCACTCATCACTGACCACTTCCTTGAACTGTGTTCGCAGGCACTGATATCAGCATTGAGTTCTTCTACTTGGCCTTCCCTTTCAGTCGAAATAAATGCCCCAGATCAAAATTCGAATCGCTGTAGTTTTAACTCTACAGCGGGGGTAAAAACGGGGAGTATGCGATTGAAGTTGAATTATAACCAAAATTGGGTGACCTCTCGGATGCAATAGCCTTTTTTTGCCAACAGCCGTAAGTTGTCAATTTGTCTTTCATCTTTTTACCCCTTATCTCCTGGCGAGTTGGGGTGTGTGGTTAACTTACTTCCACGTGGTATACCCTGGGCAACGTATGTTCATACGGCAAAGTGTCTATCGGTCGGCATTTGACTTCTCACTTCAAACTACCCTGACCCGACTGTATGTCATATTCGACTACTTTCACAGTACTCACCTCACCTTTTTCTGCCTTTGCGTCTTTCTCTTTTGCATCTTTTAAATACTCCTGTCCCCCCCCCTCTCTCTCGACTTTTCGTCACTTTGATGTTCCTTCTCCTCCTCTCTGTGATAAAGCCCGAAGTCAGCTAAAAGGCTAATGGTAACTATCGAAACGCCTGCCTCTTGGAAAAAATTTCCTGGCGACGTATTTATTCTATTGTTCGCTAAGACGCGCCGCCCAGAAGAACATTGATTGCTTTGTGGGCGGTTTATCTTCCCCCACCACTCACTCCATTTTCTTTCTTGCATGACTTGCCACGATATATACTGGGAGACAGTTAGCCATGACAGGGAATTTTTAATTCTCACACAAGTAAGAGAGATTAGTTTCAACGTATATCCGTATTTTTTTTAATTTAAATTTAACTAGAAATTTATTATTATTTTTAATTGATTCATTGAAGAGCTCTTTTTATTTACTTACCAATCTACTCACTCTAACCACAAGATTGGCTAACGTAAATGAACGAGAACGGCCTTCCTATCGTTGGAAATGGTATTTAGGCCTGACACTTGAGTTACTTAATTTGACACCAATTATTCAGATTGGTTCATCTTGAATACTGAGGGTAGATATATGAGTGGTACATGATTATATTGGCATTGTAGCATTCCAGACGAGGCTTATTTTTTGGCTTTTTTTGCAAAATCTTTGAAAAAAAGGAACAATGTCCGATGTAATTCAATCTCTATTCGGTAACGCTACTACTACTACTACTTATTATTATTATTATTATTATATTATCTTCTTTAATATATATATTAGCATAATGGTTTTCTTATTTTCGTTGCCTTTACTCTCCCCCTTCCCACCCACCCCCCGCCCCCCTTCACCCACCTACAGCTCCAATTCCGAGGATCCTCGAATCCGGTATGCCCCTCCGGCTCATTGTGCTTGTTCTCGCGTGACTCTCTCTCTCGCACCCTACCTGACCTTGATCCATCATATTTCTATTTATTTATTTGTTGTTGTCGTCAGAAGGCATTTTCTGTGAAATTGGTGTTGTGGAAGAAGTAATCATTGTGTCGTGTTATTAATTGACGTAAAGTCTACGATCATCTCTCTATGTGTGTGATGGCTATTTAATCAAAATTTGCTGCTGTGCTCAGGACAATTGATTAGCGTTATTATACTGCCAAATTCACCTTTTTGAGCTCATTTAATGATCAGCCCCTGTGCCCCCTCAAATGCCCAAAGTCAGAATAGCCACTGCGCATCTTCGTGTCATGATCTACTTGCCATGGGCCTCTAATTGGTAGTGTATTCACCTAAAAAATCCCATTTGAGAGACCACGAAATGAGTAGTACTTCCAAAGTATTAATCATAAGCATTGAATGCACAAGTTAGCGTAAAGAACCTTCTCATTATCTGTTCATTCATTCTTCCGCGAATATTGCAGCTTAACCATCCCGAAATTGTAGAATTCAATCATGGGTCTCTTAGGATTTGCTAGAGAGAGAAGGAGGAGGAGCTTGAATTATCTAAATGAGCATAAATTTTTTAAGCCAAATCAGTCATCAACGGTTAAGGGAACTTCGTGATTGGATTGATGCACATAGCCTTCACTTTTTCTGAGGTTTCCTAGTCTTGACTTCGGCTTTTTTTGTCTTCGACTTTATAGCTCTGCCCTGGGACTCAACCGACAATGAGACGATTCGTTTGCAGCAGTGGCTCTATCTACCTTCCACTTCTTATCAACCCGATCCACGCAAACTCATAGGTATTGTGCTTGCCCCCCCCCCACCCCACCCCCTTATACCTCTTTCTTTATTCACCTCATACCTTAATTTAGTCCACAAATCTGATTTATTTATTTGTTTGCTTGTTTCTAGTGGACTTCCTGCAATTCATGTTGGTTGCAGCTCAGTGGAGAGTATTCAAGTTGGAGCAGAGACCGAATAGTGATAGCTATGGTGGAGGAAGCAATTTCCCGGTGCTTATTGACACCCTTCCAGGACCGAATGATCGGGATTTTATCAGCACTAAAGAGTAAATGCTCTCTCTCTCTCTCCTCCATGCTTCTTCTCGTCTTGCTTCATGCCTTACATAATTAATGTGTTGGTGGTTGTTTGAGAGGTCAACATCGTTAATTTGTAATACGTGAGAGGCGGGGGTGGGGGGGTGGGAGTGTGGGTAGGCAGAATGCTGCAATTGTAGTTCTTAACCCCCCCCCCCCTCCTCCCCCGAAATATGTAGTTGGAGTGAGTCTAAATTCAACGTCTGATGACATTCGCTTCATTTGTTGATGCGCCTGCCCTGTTTCCAGGACCCGTCTTGGGAGATGAGGCAGGTTGTCGAGTAGGCTAGAAATGGGAAATTCTGTTGACTCCACTATATATAAAAAAATAGAACTTGATCTATTTATGTAAACTAGGAATGGGAATGACTGTTGGGTGCATGTGGATTAATCAAAACTGAGATATAATAGATTCGATTAGCGATGCTATTAGATATCCTAATCACTTTCGGCATTTGTATCGCTTCAAGCAATTTGAACAAATCGACTGTTGTTGTGGACAAGTTCATCCCGGTCATTATGGCACCACCTACTACTGAGATTTTCTGAAAATCCGCCCAGGCCGGTTTAACAGATAATTCGATTTCATTAAACTATTTTTTTGGAACCCATGGGCGCTTATTCGGATGGGTGGACTTTCGGAAAACTCCGGCATTATACTTTACTCTTGTGGGAAATTTGTTACACTTTTTGCATTCGGTAAGTGCGAAGAGTAACCTGAACGAGCGTAGACGAAGGGTGGTGTGAACTTGTGATATTCCGTATGACCGAGGTCATTTTGATTGGGCTAATCACTTTTCTTTCCCCCCACCCCACCCAAATAGGTCATACCTGGATTACCTTCGCCACGCAGTCTTCTACTGGTTTTACTGGCTCAGCCTGGCCATCGTTTTCGCTACTGGAGTGAGTTGGATCACCCTCTTCTGTCTGGGCTATATGATCCTCAGTTTTATTTACCTATGGATGGGACAAAATGTCATGATTCGACGACGCGCTAACCTCCTCGCCTCGTAAGTAGCCTTCCCTCCCTCCTCCCCCCGTACCTTATAACCTGAAATTCGATACTTTCATTGGTTCTTATCGTCACAAAGGTTTTTATGCCTTTTCTTTTGTGGCCTGGTCATCCTTTTCGATGTATCTGCTTTGCAGTCATTGGAATTGAAACTAATTCTCCCCAGGTTATTAGAGCTTTGACTTTGGAAGAGGGTGGATATTCTGGACCTATTGTTACTGGGCCTATTTGCACGTGTTGATAACAGCACCATTGACCTCAAAGTGTCATGCAGTCTCCTCGCGCCATATTCCACATTAGTGGAAATCGATGTCATAACCTATAGAGTGGTAATAGAAAAAGCCTTTCCTTACTCACAAAAAATCCGCCTACTGGAAAGACTTTGCAGTCGTCTCCACCTTATCATTATTTACTTCATTTCTTCCGCAAGTTAACTATCAAGAAAATTTAACTGATACATGCAAAACAGTAACAATTTCTGGGGTGTAGGTAATGCGTACACTACCGCTTTAACTGTATACCTCCTGTCACATTGATGTCACTTATTCTCACCTGCAAAATAGTTGACACAAGTGTGGAATTTCTATTTTAATTATTTTTTAGTTGGACTAATATCAAATCTATTATTCGTCTCGTTAATTGTTAACTCCAGATTATTCTCACATTTTCTGGGCATTCTCTACAGTGGCAGGGTATATTTTTTGCCTAATTTAATTCATTTTTTATTTGAAAATTTCAATGACCTCTGCCCACTCATACGCCTTGTGTGAAATTGTTTTTCTTTCTTTGTTCACTTGTGCTTCATTTGATTGTGACATTGTGCCACAATGGGGGAAAGAAAGCTATCCCCCCTCCCCTCCATTGAAACCCAAGTAGTATTCAGGTAGCAGATGCATCGCTATTATAATTAGCCTCAAACTATTTCAATGCCCTCTTTTCTTTCAACTTGCCGGAAGGGTGAAAGGCACGCAGATTCCTGTGTGGTGTGTGTTGATGTCTGAACTTTTGAGCATTTGCAGTGCTTCTCCTTCCTACATCGTAGGCTGAGTCATGTGAAATTATGGGGGGAGTATGCGCGCGCCTACCCACGAATCAAATAAATCGCACGACTTATGAAGTTGGAATTTGCAATCTTGCCATTCCCCTCCCCACCCCCACGCGTGGGGCTTTTAGCGTAGAGTTGGTCTCGTGAGTATGCAAAGCCTTTCCATTTCTTAGGATATTGGCTAACATTAGTATTATATCAAATGGCAGGCGTTTTGATAGTTTTCGTTAGCCCTTTAGTTGACTTTGGGCTTCACAGAGGAGGAGGGAGAACATCAAAGTGACAAAAGTCGAGAGGGGGGGGGGGGCAGAATAATGATTCACAGATGTTTTAAAGAGACAGACAGGCACAAATGTAAGACGAGATCTGCTGAAATGGTGGAATATGGCATACAGTGGGGTGATAGTAGTTAGAAATCAGAAGTCAACTGCCAGTTTATAGACTTTTTTGCCGTATGGGTATACGTTGCCCAGGGTGTACCACGTGGAGGTAAGTCTATCACACACACCCCTATTGACTAACATGGATTACCATATTGAGTTCCGTCTTTCAGTATTGGCTGCTAACAGCGCCTCCTTTAGTCATTTCCCTCTATGCCAAGTGTCGCTAAGCGACACTGGTCCCGAGAAATTCCCACTCCTCTACGTTAACTTACTAGCGCTATTTACAAGCTCACTTCCTCAAATTGGTGAAGGAGAATTCTGTGTGATTGATAGTCGCCTCCATTTGTTTGTACTTCTAACATCCACATGCATACAGGAACTTGGAGTGCATTAAAACGAACATTTCCTTTTTTTGTACTTCACTAAACTGAACTGTTGTGATTCACTCCTTCGTTGGTCCATTAGACGTGGGGTGGTGGTGGTGGTGGTGGTTGGGTGGGGGGGGGGTTATTATGCGATTTTTAATGTCTTACCGCTGCTGCACGGCACAGTTTCAAAGTCCTCTCCTTTAATGTGGGAAAAACCCTGCAAATGAAGTTTTTCCCCAACTAATACAACGAATTCCTAGTACTCCTCCGCTAAAGGTGTGTCCAATTGGACTCGGTATGTTTTTCTCGTGTCTGGAATAGAAATACTCGTGGAAAGAGACATTCTCATGTCCTCTTTGTAATTTGTAAGACTGAACGTGTGGACCTATCTTCCATTCAAGCCTATAGAGATTTAGTCATGGTTTTAAGCAAAGGCAAAATAGCCAGAGCAACCATTTCCTTGCATCTGCCATTCGGTTGAATTATATTGTCTTGAAGTGAACTTATAAATCAGTAATGCCTTTCCTAATTTGCATCGTTTTTTCCCAGTGATAATGCATTACTTGGCTGTTAATTTTATGTATTTGCTCTTCAGTCTCTTCTCTGTGATGTTATTAAATCCCTTTCAAAATTTAGCCTGATTGGCACGTTTTTGTGCTCTACGGCAAATTGTACCATTCACTTACAATCTATTTCCTTACTTCTATTCCAAGTCGCCAGGTAAACGCCTCCTGCCATAGTTACATTTGGGAGAGTATTTAGAAATTGCGCAGAAAAAAAGTGCCTTTTCTTCTTGTAATAAACCCTGTCTTTAACTACCACGGAATGGCTTGTTAACAACATTACATATTTTAACCCACTGGTGTCAATGCTTGCGCTATCGATTGACACTCACTTGTCCTTATCTGATCACGGTATTCCCCCACCCACGCCCACACCCACACCAATTGTCAATTTGCAAATTAATTCCCTTATCTCGATGACATTTGGCATTTCCTCGGGTCTCGCAGAGGCCATTTTCAAAAACTAGCATAGAAATTAGCCTCACTCCTGTCTGTCTACTCATTAGAAAATTGGATTTTTGCTCTATTTGCTCCTTTTGGAATGACCGCGCATGTAGGTACATTCACACATGCTTGATTTGTGGTGTATTCTAAATAAAAGCAGCTGTTAGAAATAAGACGTTGCTATGTTTGTCTAAAATGCTCCAATGAATTGATCAAGCGCGAGCCCCAACGACTACTAAATAAGTGGACACTGGTTGGAATATGGGCATTTTTATTCAAGTGGATATATGGATTGGCCTGGTAGTAATTGGCCGGTGACGATTTAACCAATCATTAAAGTTGGCAGAATACGATTGGTTGGATAATGGGCGGTCGGTGAATGACGATTGACCTCGTCATGCCGTGACATTGCGCGTGAGCGTGTAATAGCATTTTCAGTGCGCGCCAAAATGCCTCTTTTCGCATTCTCATTGCTTCTTCCTTTTGAGTTGAGCTTTATATTTGTTTTTGGCAGTCCTGGAGTAGACCTTTATTATTGACTACGTAGGTCGTTGACCTTTACGTGCAGCTCGCAATGCTGAGATGTTCATTATGTTTATCGATCGTTCCCTTATTTCCGAAATTCAGCTTCCATCTTGGTATAGTTGGTCTTATTTGGGTGTCTTTCGTTGGTGTATGACTGGAGAGAACTAGTGATTCGACGACAGTCTGAAGTACTGATGCCGACCTTCACAAAACTCACCTACTATTGGCAAAGAAGGGCTTAAACAGGCTTGAAAGTAATAGGCAGCATTTGGTTGATTTGAAATTAAAGGACAATCGGACTCGTTTATTAATTTGTTTTTTTTTCTACTTTATTTCAACTATTAGTAAATGAACTTTTACAGTCGCCACACTTGTTCCACTCTTTTTTACTGAGTTACTGCTGTGCTCTAAGTGGTGTTATGAGAAGGCTAATTAAACGAAGGGAGGGTATTTCGCTTCGCTCTGGAAACTAGTCAACTGTCAACTCCAAAATATATTTATTTCAAATGACAGGCGTTTTGATAGTTATCATTTGCCCTTTAGCTGACTTTGGGCTTCACAGGGAGAAGAAGCATCAAAATAACAGAAAGTCGAGGGATGGGAAACAGAAGAGTGGTTTACAGTTGTAAAAGAGACTGGCACAAAGGCAGAGAAAAGGAAGGATGATTAATGTGGAAGTGGTAGAATATGGCATCCAGTGGGGTTATGGCAGTTTGAAGTCCGAAGTCAGCTGCCGGTTAATAGACTTTTTTTGCCGTATGAGTATACGTTGCCCAGGGTGCACCACGTGGAGGTAAGTCTGTCGCACACCCCAACTCCAAAATATATTTTTTAGGCTTTTCTCTCTCTCTCTCTTTTTTAATCTAATTGAGATGAGGATTTGGTGGGAAACTGAATGTATGCTTTGAGAAATGTATCTTTTTTTATTAAAAACACCTTCCTAAGCATTAGCCGTGTGTGAATATGAGTTCCCATTGTTATTGGCTATGAGCTCAGAGAAGAAGTGATTTAATGAGTGCAAGTGTCCATGGGGAATGCAAATTACCATTATCATTGATGAAGCTGAAAATACGGAATTATGCTTGAAAATTGGTAGTGTGACCTTGGTGAATCGATCGCTATGAGTCGACACTGATAAGATTCTTTTTCTAGTAGATGTGGGTTTCAGGAATGGGGTGAGGCTCACACTTTGCCCGCCTAATTAATGATTTCCTCTTAAGCTTGAAACCATACTTCCCTACCGGTATAAATAAATAAATACTTGAAGTAGCCGTCATTTGTTGATTGGTGGGATATACTGACAGCTAGCCGACGGTTGTCAGAATCTCAGGTCGCTGATAAACTCTTATATATAAACTTCAGCTAGTAGTTTTTCACTAATCCCGACGAAAAACAGTCAGATTTTTTAAAGTTGTCCATGGAATGAAGTTTTCTGTTTTCCTTTTGGGAAAAACTCAAATGGACTACCATTTTACATTGTTGCGGGCTATTAGGAAGTTTAGTCTCTGCCTCTGTCAATCTGTACCATTAGATGCCGTCATGCGGCACACTCCACTTAGACCAACCAGTTGCTAATCATTACCATTTCAAATTTATGCACCGTAGACATCATCATTCGACTAGGGCCTGACGTCTTTTCTGTTCTCTCTCTCTCTCAAAATCGCGCTGTTTTTG